TGTGTCAGGTTGGGAAGTCGAAGGATTTGATAGAGGCTAGAGCCGGAGGATCGAAGATCAAAGAAACGAGAGAATAACGGGGGCGGAAGGTCTGAAAATCATGGCCGTGAGTCGGAAGAGAAGAATATGAGAGGAGGAGATGTTTTCGGTTGGATCTGGAGGGCGATCGATATGGAGGAGTCAGCAAAATAGCCCAAAAGTGAAATAAAAACCCAAAACTGAAAATAGAAAAGTTTTAAAATGAAAAGAAAAAATAGTGGTGATATAAATGATATGTTACACTCAAAATGGGACGGTACGGGTAATTTGCACAACTTTATTTGACCCGGGCTCTTGGAGTCTTGGGTATGGAATAGTTGGGACCAGTGGTGGATTGGGCCGGGTGCGGACCTGGTAAAAACAGTCCTGGTACCGGCCCGTTTATATATCGGGATCGGGTCAGGTCGAGCTTTGGGTCGGGTCTGAGTTGGGCCAGGCTCAACTAATTCACAAGTACTACAAAAAAAGTGAATGTATATTTATTGAAATATGAAGGACAATTAATAATATAGTGAATAGACTCTTAAAAAGCGGGAAAATATACTTCAAGTCCCTTCGACTATTAATTTTGTGTACTCCATGGGGTGTTTTGCCTTCAAATGCCTATGAGCGCCGTCGTATTCTTGTGAAATCCCCAAGCTAATTTTTTGTTACAATGGTAGCAAGTTGCCAACCACGTCTCGCTTGTCGTTTTCTTTTATTTTGTGTAATTATTTTCCATAAGGAGAGATTCACTTTTCGTATCGAGTTGGAATGAACCAGGCTTGTCCTCGTCGGTTGTTTTCTCGTCGGGATTTCCTCCTCGCCTTGTACCTCCTCGGCTATCGCCGGTTTCTCCTCTTCGGCGTCGTACATTGCATCTCTCCGATCATAATATGTTTCAAAATCATATTGGCTTTGAGAAGAAGACCTCATATGTCATTTACCTTAACCTCGCAAATTATGATGGTTCTTTGCAATCTCCTTTCGGTTGTGTTGGAGGTTACCCATATCTAGGGACGGATTTAGGGGGGGAGCGGGGGGCGACCATCTCCCTTGGACTTTCAAAATGTTCCAATGTATATGTAATATTTTTAGAAAATTTTTAATTCTATGAATTTTTCGCCCCCCTTAACTTGTAGCTTTCAAATTAATATATAGCCTTACATAATGTACTAATTAATTGGAAGTTTAAAAGAAGTAACATCTAAAATTATTTACATAACTTGTGCAAATAAACAATAGAACAACTCATTTTTTAAAACTTAGGATGTCTATTGTATCAAAATTTCTAGTTTTGAAATGTTTAATCATTAGTACTCGATTTTGTAATATCAAATGATATTAAATACATGAGACACGAGTTAAATAATTTTTAGTTCATGTGAGGTGAATTCAAAATATAAACGTTTGTTGACATTAAATTACACAATGTATTTACTTCTTACTTTCTAAAAACAATTTGGTGCATAGATAATAACTTTAACTTCATTTTTTTTCAAATAAATTTCCTTTGATTTGTCATTCAAAAAAAAATTCCTTTGATTTGCCATTCAAAAAGAATTCATTTGATTTGCCACACTTTAAGTAGGAATATTTTTTATGGAGCACTTACATGGCTTTCAAGTTTCGTTGGTGTTACAAATTCAATTGTAGAGCCATAGTTTGGATTGGAACGACTAGGGTTGCAAAATGGGAATGAGTGCAGCAGGGGCGTAAGGGTTGGGTCATGGGTTGAGGCAATCAAGGTAGAATTGGAGGATTGGTGGGGAGAGTGTGGGGGAAATCCTGACCAGCGGAGAAGGTGCAGTAGCCGCAAGAGGGGTTGGAGCAGTTCCTAAGAAGTGGTGGGAGCAACGGTTTGGGTGGTTACCTTGGAGGTAGTAGGGCTCAAACCGAACCCGGGCTTCATTGGTTAAGCTCTCCAAGTTTCGAGATCGAACGCGAACACCATTTTAACCAAATCGACCCAACTCAACCTTTGAGTGTTCAGTCACGACTAGCCTCGTTAAATAAAGTACGAATGATGGAACTTATTTTAGTCTCGGCTAGTTATATAAAGCACTAAAGGTGAAACTTTATTTCGAGAAAGTATTCCTTACGGGTGTGTTTGAGAGTTGGTTTTGGGATGGGGGGAAGACGTGTGAGGGTTGATGACACTCTTGAACTTTCATCTTGAACTTTTCATAGAAGGGCTTTCAGTTTCAAATGGCTTATTCTTCCGCCGCTTTGTACTTTAACGAAAGAGCCTCCGGATTCAAATGACACAAGCTTTCATTTTTAGTTATGACAAAAGGGCCTCCGGATTTAAATGCGGTATTCTTCCATTTGTGTTTTTACGAAAGGGTCATTTGATTCACATGACTTGGTCTTCTATCTCATTCTTGACGAACAGTCTCCAAATTTAAAAGACATGATCTTTTTTATATAATTCATGCCCCCATCAAAGATCGAAGACATAACTCACCACATATTGAATATGCGAATATGAAATCTTATCATTGATCAATCAATCGATTCTTCGAAATGTATCGATGTTGATATTGATGAAGAGATGAGAGACAGAGTCATCCCACAGAGTGTCAATTTAGTAAACAAAGAAAAAGTAAAACTAGAATTGTATAGATAAATATGGAACATCAAGAGACATGTAAATATGTTATATATTTAAAACGATGTTGACAATTTATGCTCTTGTCAAGAATCTACATTTTTGTGTGGCAGAACACTACATATAAATTTGAGGAATCAATATCCTCCTTTTTGTTTCTTTTATTCTTAAGAAGACTCACTTTTATAATAGGGCAAGATAAGATGTAAATATTACTCATTCCGTATTTAAAAGTTTTCTACATTTCCCTATTTGAAATGTATTTAATAGTTTACCACACTGTTCTTTTTTTTTTGTAAATTTGTCATTTAAAATACTCAATTACCCTTATTATTTCTACTTTTCATAATTTCTTTTCTACTTTCTTATCTTCTCTTACTTTTTTACACTATTTATTACCCTAGTATTTCTCCTTTAATTATGAAACAATGGCACAAGTATTATCTCTAAGGTTTTAATAGACCAAAATATAACCATTTTTTAACTTTACAAAAAAGTGACCATATCTATTTCCTTTTCTCTCGTCCAGATCTACGCTTCTTCTTCAGAGCCGTTTCTCTGTGTGATCGAGTTCTCCATAGGGACTCTTCTCCACCATTCCAGCTTCTGTCTGCACGGGGATTCAGAGATGGCGGTGAGATGGGGATGAAATCGACATCTAGATGGCGACAGAACTCTTTAGAGACAATGCATCGCACTTGGGACGACGAAGTCCGCGCTGCACTGAGCTCCAGCGATGGTGGTGAGCCATTAACGGAGACCTCAGTCTGGTCGTACAATTCTTCTTCTTCTTCTTCTTCTTCTTCTTCTTCTTGCTCTAGATTGTTCACGACATCTTCGATTTCCGATTCAAGGCTGCGGCGGCAATATCTGCCACGAAGTCAGACAGCGGAGGTGGTCCGCAGCAGGGATTCTAGGTCGGGATGGGGAAACGCCGCCCAAGGCGTTGACTACTGGTCCGGCTCAGATTGCAGATTTCCAGATCTGATCGGGCTGTGGTGGGCTAGGAGGAGTGGATCGATGTAGGTTGGGGTGTTCAGAGTTGATGTGTGACAACGTGGCGGCTGAAAGGTCAGAGTTGGTCGGCAGCGGAGCATGACCAGGCTGGGTGGCAATGAAGGAGAGGGGCTGGGAAGGTGGCTTGGGGCTGGGAGGGGGCTGGGGAAATGGCTGGGGCTAGGTATGTAGATTTGGGGTGGTTGGCGGCAGTGAGGGAGTGGTGGTCGGAATAACACTGGCCGGAGGGGCTGGTCAGATCTAGAGCAGGTCAGGGGCGGGCAAAGGCATGGGGGAGGGGTAGTGGCAGTAGGGGGTTTGTCGTTGGTGGTATGGCAGTGCCAGTGGCATCGGGTGTCACTGGACGGTGGGTAGTGGTGGTGTCACCGTGGCCAGAGATGACATGTGACTGTGACCGTCTGCGGTGGTGGTCGGAAAGCGGAGATGTCATTGGGGAAATGTCATTGTGACCGGAGGTTATGGCGGAGATGTCATCACAGTGACACGGACGGTGGCTCCAGTGACACGTGTGGTGGTTACAATGACACGAGCGGTGGTAGCGGTCGGAGTAACTACTTTTGGCGGGTGGCGTCACTGAAAAATCAGTGTCACTAGACAGTGACATCGTCAGTATTGTGTCACTATGGTCGTTGTCACTATGGCCGGCGACGGTCTCCGGCGGCGGTCACCGGTGGGAGGTGGTGGCCAGTGCCGATCCTACCTAAACTCGGGCCTGAGTCGAGTTTCATAAATGGGCCCTATACATAGTGTTTTTTTGTCATACAGATTCATTAAAATTCAATAATTAAATATCACAAAAACGCAATTTTTAAATTTAAGTGTTACATTTTAGAAAAAAAGATATTGGATGTATTAAGAACTAATTAAGTACAACTCGTAGAACATTTCTAGATGAAAATATATTAATCAATTATGCATAATCTATGTTATCAATAAATTACTTCTCAATTGATAACATAGCTAATTCATTCAACTCTTTTCAGACATGCTTGAAGATGTACTCTCCGAAGTGCCTCTTTTATTAGAAATTAACTACTACATGATTTTATTTTTCCGGCCTGACTTGAGTTAATGATTCATTGATTCAATACGTGATTTTATTTTCCTCTTTTGAAATCGAGACAAAAGTTTGGAAGCCATAGTACAAAGATTATGTAATATTTTAGAAATTTTTTCCGGCATACGCACACTTATTAGTCATATTTTAGATTATTTTCCGGCATACGCACACTTATTAGTCACATTTTAGAAATTTTTTAAAAAGATCATTTTTTTGCCAATTACCCTTTTATTAGTAATATTCAAGACAAAAACCCTTTAATTATTTTGTCAAAATTGATGTTTTTTTTTGGGCAAAATGCAGTGATGTTTTAAATAGCTAGGGAATACAGATATCTCATAAATACAGAGTATGATATAGGATGATGATGATGATCGGCGCCGGAATTGCAAGTCCGCCGCCATTGAAATCGCAGATTAGAATCCCCCGCCGCCGCCTATCTAAATCAGAATGCCAGTGTGCGTTGAGCAAGCGAGGCGAGCGTTTCCTGAACTCGCTCCTCGTCGCCTCTCCCAACGAAGACCGCCTCAACACACTGCTTCGGAAATTCGTCGCCTCTTCTCCTAGATCCGTCGCTCTCGGCACTCTTTCCCACCTCCTCTCCCCGGCGTCTGCCGCTCCCTCCCACCCTCGCCTCTCTTCACTCCCTCTTCCGTTATATCTGGCGATGTCACAGGCCCCTTGGTTCAGTTGGAATTCCAAGCTAGCAGCAGACATCATCGCCCTGCTACACAAACAGAAACAATTTGATGAAGCCGAAACCCTAACAGCGGAAGCACTCTCCAGATTAAGCACTGGAGGGAAGCGCGAACTGTTCTTCTTCTACTGTCACCTAATCAACCCCCAATCCAAGCACAAGTCACGGGAACCAGTCCTCCATTGTTGCGCAAAGTTGAAGCTTCTCCTCCACTCAGGCCCGACCTCGCTTCACTTAAAGCAGTCCGTGTATAAGTCCATGATCCAGGCCATGTGTCGTATTGGTTTGCCGTCTGAATCCGAGAAGCTGATGGACGAAATGAGAAGGGCAGGGATCAAGCTGTCCAGGTTTGAGTTCAGGTGGATAGTTTATGGGTATGGGATAAGAGGTCAGTTTGGGGAGATGAGGAGGATGGTTGCTCAAATGCAGAGAAAAGGATTTCGGATGGACACGGTCACTTCGAACATGGTGCTTTCATCTTTTGGAGCCCATGGTGAGTTGTTGGAGATGGCAGCTTGGCTACAAAAGATGGAGGATTGGGGGGTGGCAGTTTCAATAAGGACTTATAATTCGGTTCTCAACAGCTGCCCTAAATTAAACCTGTTGCTGTATGACAGCATAAAGAATAATGAGGATTTGCCTCTTTCCCTAGAAGAGTTAGTGGCTAAGCTTAGCAGGGAAGAGGGCTCTCTGGTTCTCATTCTGGCAACAGAGAGGAAAGTGGAGTGGGGAGTGGAGTTAGATTTGCATGGTATGCATTTGGGGACAGCATATGTGATCATGCTGCTGTGGTTTGAAGAGGTTAGAAGAAGGTGTGAAAGTGGAGATAATGATAATCTGCCTAGCGAGATTAGGGTGGTGTGTGGGGTGGGAAAACACAGCGCCATTAGAGGGAAATCCCCCGTGAAGGGTTTGGTGAAGAAGATGCTGCAGCAGATGGGTTGTCCACTTAGGAACGATAGCAAGAACAACGGATGCTTTGTTGCCAAAGGGAGGGTTCTCAAAGACTGGATGTCATTATATAATAAAAGCTTGCTATGAGAAATAGACCAAAATTATGAGAGAGCAATGGATCCAACTTCTCAACAACTTACACTATCAATCCTTGTCTTGAACGGCCAAATGTTGTATTTTGAGCAACTGAGAATTTGAAGAAAAAGAATGGTCATCGGAAGGAAAGAGAATAGCCCATTTGGTAATCACCCCTTGTATCGGCATTCATTAACCAAGGTTTTTTCGCCACACCTCATGCTCTAATGACTAACGAATAAGTATGACATTTCAACCTTCAATCTTTATATTATTTTCTTTGATTTGTTAGGTAAATATGAAGTAAATTTTTAGATAATGTCACTAGATATAATTCAGTAAATTCAAGTCATTCTACCAAACTTCATGTAATACAGATAGGCCTTAACTAACGGGCTTTAAAAGTTTGCAAGTTGATAGAGCAATTCAGTCGTGCCTGCTGCTGCTGAACTGGTAAGCCTTCAAACCAGAGCATCCACCAAATGTACATTTTCCCAAGATTATTGTGCGACACTTCTTCTGCTATTAAGCAGCGAGCTTGTCCTCCTACTGCTAGGGGCAAAGAAGGTGCAGCTCCAACACGGACAACTACACCTTGCAAACGTGCTTCAATGTTACTTATTGCCCTCTGCATTTTGACAGCAAAAAATGTTGCCATTAATGATCTGTTATAACACTTTTAAAGTTTTATAACAATAGTGCATTGCCAAAAATCTATAGCCATGTTTGGTATGATGTAATCAATCATGTAATGTAATCGTCATTACGAATACAATGTTTGGTATGACATTTTGTTTTAAATTGTAATGTAATGAACATTGCAAATGTGGAATTCATTACTTTAATAGGTGTAATAAGCTTTATATTACAAAAATTATGTATTTGATATTACACCTTTGTGCTGTATTTGAGATTACAAATATCTACGTCTTATACATCTTAGTGTCCGAAGAAGAGGTTCGAAAGCTTTGCATACCTATGGCCGCCAGTTTCATCTTCTTCATTGGGCTCCATTGAAACCTGGCGATCTATTCGGTAATTTGCTAGGCTCCGACTGAGCCTTTCTAGGAAGAGGTATACCCCAACTTAATTCTCTATCCTGAAGTAATACCAATTGTTTATATAAGTCTTCATATACCCCAACTTATATAAGCCTTTCTAGCCTTTGAATTTCTTCTCTTATAATCAACTTCTTATAGATCGATATGAAATCTAGTTGATATAGCTTTAGGTTTTGAGAGCCGATTCATGTGGGTATACTCTATTTTCAATTAAGCCGATTCAAATGGTTCTACTCTATTGGGGGCTATCAATTATGTTCAAATTATATCAAATCTAGCTGATATGGCGTTAAACAAATTTAGGGTTTATGATTCAAAGTGGGTGTACTCTATATACTCTGAACCATTTCTAGATATGTTGTGTATAATAGGTATTTGTAATCTTATTAATTACGTAAACTGAGCTAGAAATTGAGCTAATAGAATCCATATATCATTTAATTAAAGAAGAGATAACATTCATTTGAATGGAAGTTATGATTTATGGCAGTAAGCTAAAAAGGAGATGAGTGATGCTGGCTGGGGGTTAGAATTCCAATTAGGGTTTGTTTGCTGTTGAGGTTTATTCCTTCAACCTTCAGGCCCAACACGTAAGCCCAAAGATTTCGAGTGGAGTGCGTTTGAGTAGCTAGCCCGACAAGCAGATGATAAGGATCAAGGACAATAAAGTAGCAAGTAAGTGATTAGGTATTATTATCTCTTAATAACTCCCTAATACAATACTTTTCGCTAAGGCTCCGTCGGCCGTTCGTCTTACAAGGCAGTAGAAGTGCTGCGAATAGAATGCTATAGCTAGGGTGCTAAGAATAGAAGGTTGCCAACCCTTTACAATGAAATAAATGCTTCTATTTATACCCGCCAATGGGCAGGTGGCTATGCTGACGTGGAGGACTGCGGATCGCATGTGTCCCAACCACCAAATCTTCTGCATTAAATGCACTTCCCGCCAGAATCTAGGCTTCCCGCCTAAATAATGGGGACGTTCGTCCGCCAGGGGTGAGCTGGGTCATTCCAAGTGATCCTCAAGAGACTCCGGCTGTTCGTCCCCTGACCTTGTGGACTCTCTCCCTGTGGACTGGATCTCCTCCGATGATCATGGACCTGCCCAGGAGACGTTCGTCGTTGTCCCTGATGGCTAGTGGTCCTGCCCCTTGCCCCTGTATGGACGTTCGTCGTGATAGGCAGTTTGGACCTGGGCCCCCCCCCCAATTCCAGACGTTCGTCGCTTTCCAAGGATCCTGGGCCTGCGCCCAGCCTGGTCCTAGCTTGACGGGCGTCTGACAGAAACAAGGAGGTTAATGGGCCGGGCCTCGGCCTGGGCCATTATCCCAACACAAGTCCCCCACTTCTGATGTTCTGAGCATGCGTAGGACATAAGGAAGTATAGGTGCCCCGAAGTTGACGTTCGTATCTTGACACTTGTGTCTCACTGCATCCGGCGGAAGCGTACGCTCGTGGTCATGGTGCTTAACAGCTGTCGACTGTTCAGGAAACGAGGTGACGGCTGCTATAGCGGCGGTGCACTTTCCGAGGAAATGCCATCATTGCGTTTTCGTCCCACGCACGGCGCGTGAGCCGGAATACGCTCCTTGCCACGTGTCCGTCCCTCGTTGGTCCCCCCGCCGGTGTTTCTCCTATAAATGCCGGGTTCCCCCCCTAAATTAGGGTTCCCAATTTTCGCTCTCCTGCTCTCGCGTTCCCGCAGTTCTTCAAGTCTTTTCTGGTTTTCAAGCTCGGCTAACTCCTTGCTAAGGTAATTTCCACCCCCTGCTTCTTTTCTTTGTCTTGAATTCTTGCCGAGATGGTTTCGATGGAGATCTCGTCGAGTTCTGGTTCGGGTTCATCGGGTTCTTCTTCGGGCTCCTCCTCTGACTCTGGTTCACGCTCTTCGGGTGAGACTAGCACTTCCGGGAGTTCCGGCTCAGCCTCTACCGTGGGAACGGTCCAGGCCGGGGATGCCCAAGACGTGGTTGCTGTGGTGGTTCCTGGCGAAGAAGGTGCTGACCCGGGGGAGCAAGGGAATATGGCCCTCGATGTGGTGGACCCTGTAACTGATGCCGGGGAACGGGAGTCCGCCGGTGAGGACGAGCGTCCAGATGGGTATGATTCTGGGGTTGAAGCCCAGGACGGCTCCGACATTGAGATATTCGATCTTGGGCTGAAGATAGACGTGGAGAGGCATCTGTGCCCGATCAAGAACGTCCTGTGTCATGAACAGATCTTCTCGCAGGTGGCCCTCAACAAATTAAAGGTGTTCTTCCCCCCTCCGTCCGTATACAGCCTGCGCGGTGCAACCCACGTGATGAGGAGACGTCCAGGGATGGTTATGGTGCTTCTGGACTCCATCGAGGCTGGGCTGCGCTTCCCTCTTCATCCGTTCTTCGTGGAATTCTTCTGTTGTTATCAGATAGCCCCCGCACAGCTCATGCCGAACTCCTATCGGTTCGTCTCCGCCTTCCTAGTCCGCTGCAGGGACAGTGGGGTCACCGCCACCTTGGACTTGTTCCATTACTTCTACCGGCTCACTCCCCAAAATTCTGACGGTTTCCTGAGCATTGCAGCTCGTCCAAAACGGAGGCTGTTCAGCGGAGCACCGAGTTCCATCCATGACTGGAAGAACCGGTTCTTCTTCGTGCGGTACGCGGATGCTCGTCTACCATTGCGTTGGAACGGCTATCCGCCCAAGATAGGATCCCCGGAGCTAACCAATGACCTGGAGGAGGATATCAGAAAGATCTCGACGGGCGGCATCCGGCCCTTGGATGATTTCTTAACCTTCGAGGCGCTCGCCGCGGCAGGAATAGGTACCGCCCATGCTCTTGGACATCTCCCCTTCTACGCTCGTCTCGGGGTATTGGGCGGTCCTCTCCTCCGAGGTGAGTTCTTCCAGCTGTTCGTCCATCTAACCCTTTTCCCTTGTTTCTTTCAGGTCTTCCCCCAACTCAGGAGCAAATGAATCACGAGAAGCTCCTCAAGAATCGGAAGGGGAAGGGGGGCCGCGGCCGAAGCTGCCCTTGCTAAGGCCAAGGCCGCCCAAGCAGCAGACTCTAATTCCTCCGCCTCCCAGGCCGATCGTCGCACGGTGGAGGCGGAACAGCATCTCATTGCCACGGTGATGGCACAGGGGTCCCAGGCCCCCGTCCTCAATCCGGTCGTCCCTGAGGTTGTGGCGCCCCTGCAGGCCGTTCATCCGCATGACGGGGAGAAGGCGCAGGACAAGAAGCCCAAGAGGCCTCGGGGAGCTTCCTCCTCGGCCCCCGAAGAGCAGGGGCTGATCCTTCCTTCCCTTGGGCGCCCGGCCCATGACGTCTGGCAGGAAATTGCCTCTCTGGTTGGCGTGGACATGCCCCCCCGGACGTCTTCAGAGGCCTCCAACGCGGTTCTGGCCGCCGCTCTTCAGGTGAGAATCGCCCTTGGATGAACGGTAGCTTCCTATATTCCGTTGATTTGAAGTCTCATCCTCTGTATTTCTTTTGTAGGTTGGGCTCTCTACCCTGCAGGCCGAGGCTGCCCGGGATGCTGATGCCCTTCAGGCCAAAAATAGGGCAGATGCGGCCTTGAAGAAGGCGAGGGAGGCCGCTCGTCTCCAAGAGAAAGAGCTGGCGGCCAAGGAAAAAGAGCTGCAGGCCGCCCTAAGGGTAGCCCGCGAGTCCACCGCGAAGCTCGCGGTTCTGGAGAAGGCCGGGTTCAAGCTCGTCCCAGCTCTCCCTGCCCCCAAAGACGAAACCCCTGAATGGCTCGTCGACGATTCTGGGTACCACAACTCCGGGGCCTTCATGATTGCCGCCCAGAGGTACCTTGGGGGCGCCTTTGGTGATGTCTTCGCTGCCGAGCTGCAAAAGCAGGCGCCCAAGGACCGCCTCAAATTCGGGGTCCGAATCCTGGAGAGTGCGCCCCTGGCCGAGAAGTTCTTGTATGACGTTGGGGATAGCTCCTTCGTCATTGGCTACAACGAGGGGGTAAAGGCCACGCTGCCGGTCTTCGCCGCTCTTCAGGGGCCCAATTTTGATCTGGCCGAGCATGCCTCAGATCCGGAGCTGATCCGAGTGGTGGGCAAGTTGAAAAGAGACGCCCGGCGGGAGGAGGCCAGAGCCAGAGGGGAGGTCCCGGAGCCCCCGTCCCCCGAGCCCGAGCCCGAGGAGGAAGAAGAAAACATCCCTGGGGGGTCCCGGCCTTTGTCTCCAAATTTTGTGTAATGTAGTTCGTAGTCCCCTTGTTTTGATCCTGTACTTATCCGGCCAGTAGAGCCGAAGAATATACAACTCTTTTTGCCTCATCATTATTTCTACGTTCATGAATTCCTTTTACTTCCTTCGTTGTTGGCTTTTCGTTTTCCTTGGGGACGTTCATTCCCGCAACTCGCCAATGCATCCCAATCTTTCGGGATACGAACGTGTGCCTGAGAGCACCACCTATGTGGACCATCCCCGACGCCGTTCGTCGGGAGGAAGATGTGCGGGGATGCAACCGTATTCTTTCGGGGTACGAACGTATACTTGGGCGCACCATCTATGTAACCGCTCCTCCATACATGCGGATTATGGCCGTAAATTCCCGGATTAGAGTTGGCGAAGACGCTCCTCCTGTGGCCACTGGCGTAATCATCCGAGTAGTGTGCGCCTAACCCAAATTCGATGGGGTGACGTTCGTCTGTTGACCAGGTGTGTAGATATGAATGCGCCTCTCCGAATTATGCCTTGACGGAGGAGCTCGTCGCTTCCGGGATAGCGTGACCTTTTACGCCGGCGTCTAGGCCAGACATCCTTTCCGGACGCGCGTCTGGCGTGGATCACGGGGTGCTCATGTCTACGTGCGTAATCGTGGCCCGTATG